TTTGGGCCTGTTGCCCCCCCCCCCCTTACCTCCCATGATGTTCTCAAGCTCCGACTGTGGAGTCCAAGTAAGCGCACGTGAAACCATGTAAAATCTAACCAGTTGCATTAGACGAAAAACTTGCGAAACTGAAAATGTTTTAACCATGAGATCCAAAATGAAGAAGCACACCTGTGCATGATAGTGCAGATAGGCATCGCCAGGCTGGGCAAACCAAAAAATATAGATCTATGCGCACAATATTTATCTCAACCATTTTTATTTTATTTTTATTATTGATGAATCAGGGTTGATATTGATTATTTGATTTCTGATCTCAACTGACGATTCCTGATCGGTAACGAGGATTCTCTTTTCTTCACCGGCAGACAAGCGCTCCGTGTCGGAGGAAATGGAAAGGAAAGAGGCAGATGAGGAAACGTTGAGGAACCAGGTGGAGCGGGCGCTGAACATGGACGTGGACCGGTGCCTGGCCATGACGGCGTGCGTCATGACGGCCAAGAGGAGGCTGGACCATCCGAGTCGGGTCACGGAGCTCTTGGGGGGGTTTTTTCGGTGAGGAGGGGGTGGGGGCGTGAGAGGACGGGCGCGTGGCGGCAGGGGGGGGGGAAATATGGATCAAAACACGTAAAGGAAGTCAGAGACGCGGAAAAACGATCATCATCTCTTCCTCCTTTATGCGCGGGTCCAGGGATCGACGAATCCAATAGGCCAGAAATGTGTTTACCATGCCGACGAATTTTGGTCCCTTTCGGACTCGAGCTCACCGAAAAGCGGCTTACGGCGGAGCTGTCACCGGGTCAATTAGGGATCGAGGATGAAGGGCCGCAGGATGAAGAGCCATAGGATGAAGAGCTCTGGGATGAAGGGCCATCATTTTGCGGTCATTCCAAGGCAAAATCCTCTTGACCGTCCTCGGGTCCCCCGAGGAGCGCGAGACAATAATCCCTCAACGGGGGAAATATGGGAATCGAGAGACGAGAGACAAGAAGACATGCATCATTCTCTGTCCTAATCAGATTGCGAGGAGGGATTGAAAAATCTTCTCGTCTGCAAAAGGGGGGAGGAATTTTTTTTCTTTTTTTCCGGAACACAAAATGATTTTCCAGCCCAAAAGCCGGGTCGCGTGTCTCTCTCAAGATGGCTGAGTCGATATGCCTCATGACTGAGTCGATATGGCTCACGACTGAGTCGATATGGCTCTGTTGTGTCCGATGTAAAGGTCTGGGAGGGATATACCTGGGGAGAGGAAGTTTCCCCCGTTTTTTTTCCAGGTTTTGGGTTCTTTTGTTGGGGCGTGGGAATGGGGAATTATCAACCTGCTCTCATCTCCCATCATGTCATTATTCTCGGTCCATGGGACGTGTTTTCCGCGCCATCTCTCTCTGTCTCTGTCTCTGTCTCTGTCTCTGTCTCTGTCTCTGTCTCTGTCTCTGTCTCTCTCTCTCTCTCTGTCTCTGTCTCTCTGTCTCTCTCTATCTCTCTCTCTATTCTTATTTTGTTTCGAGTCCGGGAACATGCATGGACGATGAGAAAAGAAATTAGTGCAGAATTTTTCGAGAGTTAAAGTAATACGGAGTGGCTCAGTTGGTAGAGAAATTAAACGAGAAGATGACGTAGATTTGCGTGCGATCAGATAGCCTCGAGAAATCGGATTCACGTGCACAAAAGAAAGGCTCGAGAGAGAAAGCCAGGAATCCCGACGAAACCAGAAATCAGGAACTTCAAAACCGAAGATTCTCGAAGGAAGAGAGGGAAAAACTGCATTGTTCTGATGTCCAACTTCCTGGATATTCTCCGGAAGAAGACAAATAAGGAAATTTTCCATTTCCGTCGCACACGAACTCTTCAATGTACCCATGAAGCCCTTTCAGAACTAGAGCCCTCATCGAGTCGGATTTTCGCGCCATCCGGGTTGCTCTGGAGATGAAACCGGTAAACAAAAGCAAAACGGGTAAATAAAAGAGGAACTTACTAGAACAACCAAGAGGGAGAACAAATTTCTTAACGACACTCCGACCTATTGATTGGATACGGATTTTATTTTCTATCTGGCCCGTGCAGGACTCCACTTTGAACTACGACCTTTGGGATAGAAGTCATGTACATCGAAGATCCGTGTGTCCCAGTTATTTTAAAATATACGCCTCTGAGTCATTCAGCCTAGTAGGAAGGGTTATCATAATTCTTGTTACTGGCTGCAAGAATACATCAGCACAAATATATCTCAAATTCTGTAAAAAAAACCTCATAGCCTCAATAAAATAATTTTTTTTTTATCGTCCCACAGGTCTCACTACATGCTGGGTCATCCGCAGAGCGTGACGGAAGAGCCGCTGCATCCCCTATTCGTGGCAGCATTCATCGGGCACCTCGCGCGAGACCCGGGGGTCTGCGAGGGCCAATACAGTTCCTGCAAGATCCCGGCGAAGGAGGTGGAGATCCTCATGACCCAGCAGCTCTCGAAGCAGCTCGTGCGAGGCGCGACGAAGACTTGAACCGTGCTCGCGCGATTTCGTCAGCATTGCATTTCAAACGGGATGGAAGAGACGGAGATTCGTGACTGTGATCGCTCCTGTGTACCTGCATTTTCCCCTTCCCAGTCGATTTAGGGGAAACGGACTCGAGATTTTCAACTTGATTTTGGGATAAAGGGCAATAGAGTTTTTGGCGGCATGTCTTGAGACGATTGCTGGAGTGATCTCGTCTCCATGATGGTGTCCTGGATGTGCCAATAACACTTATCTCTTCTTTTCCTATATTCCGTTTTTACTCTCTTTTCAATTATACATTTTGGGCTCTTGCTATTTAAAGCATCCCAGTATTACTCGATGCGATATCACACAGAGCTTTATGAGCAGAGGAGAAGAGAAAGAGAAGAGGAGGGGCAGCATATTACCGCGCAATATATCTTACTCGAGTTGGCGCCTCCCAGATCGAAAGCCCTGACCGTTCTATTTCTGTCCAATCGCGGAATCATATATAATTCAGACTGTATTTTCAAGTGAAACAGCTGGAATTGAGTCACGTAAAACAACGGTACGTGATCGGAAAATTGCCGGAGATGCGAAATTTAAGGCACTCCGAGACGAACGCGGAAACGAGAGTGGGGCAAAGAAAATGAATAATATAATGAGTCAAATGAACGATGATGGAGTGTGCGGACACGAACGACTGTGCACGGATGGACGGAGAATATGTCGGTCGGGCTGGAGGCCAAGTTCGCGCCCGGAAAGGAGAAGGAGCACAGAAGGGGCAGAAGTAGGTCTCCTCATACTCTTCCTTACACTTTCATTCGCGTCTCCGTGGATCGAAGGCGTCTTCGCCATGTCGTGTGCCTCCCGTCAACGTTGTGTGAGATGAACGTCGGAAATGGGTGAGTTTCTTGCAGCGGATCTGAGAAGTATTACGTCAGGACTGGTTTCTGTCAAGGATTTCGCTCCATAAGCGACCTCTCGTAGATCGACCGGCTTGTGTCGAAACAGTCCCATTGTCTCTTTCTGAGGGCGGTTCATGTGGAAACGGGAAGAACGGACGAATTTAGGTCGATCCCCGATGTCGTCAATAGACCTAAGCAACTCCTAATTCAGAAAAACGGTCGCGGGCAAAGCCAAGGTTTAAAACTAGTTTTGTGGAAACTGGTTAAAACATAGACGCTATCATATTCCTCTTATTTGCATTGGATGTCATGGTGAAAAGTTTCAAAAGAACACGCGATCCATTGCAACAAAAAAAAAACTGTTATCGCATCCATCCTTTCCCCGGATTTCCCTTTTTGCTCTCTTTTTGCCGAGGGTCCATGACGTTCTATAGAATGACTAATATGCAGATGATGGAAGAGGAGGAAGTCCTTTCACTGGGTGATGATCCACGTTTCCGGGATATGTATAAGGAAATAGAGACTCCCCCAATCTTGGCATCTCTCGACCCGCATTATCTAAAAAAAAGAAAAAAAAGAAAAAAAGTCCTTGGATGTCGCCCATGTACATCCTCCGTACGTGCGAAAGCGAAAGTTGTTCCGCATCGATCGCGGCACACGCGTTGACGCAGACCTGCATGGTGTGAAAAGGGAGACAGAGCTCGCATAATCCCGCATGAGATAGACAATGGGCAAACGATGCCTTTTCCACAGTGGGGCACGATGAATGCTCTGGTTGCCGTGGCCCGAATCGATGCCGATCCCCTTGATTGGATGAAATTGCCCGGAATGGCATTCATGGTCAGATTTCCCCTCGACCGCAATAATAACAATGTCCGAATTTCACGCTTTCGCCCTCTCCCTAATGGGAATCCTTCATTTGTTATTCATAATTATGCATAATGAATCACTGATGTTGCGTAGGGCGTATTGGTATTGTACTGGTTGAATTTGATATGCATGTGTGGATAGTATTTCTCGCGCGCATTTTTGCCCCTTCCTCATTCAATTAGATACCAGGTGTGGTATAAAAAATGTAAAAATGGGGGGAGGGGGGGGGGAAGTCGAGGATGTTGTGATCGGCAGACCAGAAAAAATTATACTGAATTGTTTAGCACTATTCATTAGAGTAGCTCACGGCTAGCCCTTCGGGTAATTCATGACAGTCTGTTAAGTCAGTCGGTCATGACCGTCTATATAAAGGGTGATTGAAAAAAAAAACTTTTTTTGCTGTGTGAGAAAGACAGTTTCGGCTACGAGGTGTTGAGATGAGGGTCTCAGGTTATTTTTTGGTACCTTTTTGTCTGATCCATGCAATGTCCTTCTACATCAGGGGTAACATGCGGCCCGCGATGCCCCTGCTCGCGCACTCGTATGGTGATGAGAACAGCGTACAGTCCAAGTTTGGAGGTTTCTAAGGGAAACGAGGGCAGAGACACGGGAGTTTATATTTGGTTCGGGGGGGGAGAGGGGGGGTAGCAACCCTTAGATGCTAGCAATTTTTCCGAGATAATTTTTTGATAACTCAAATTGAAGCTTAAGAAAAAAGAGGTAAATGAAAAATAAATAAACATACTAATTAATTATTTGTAGGATAATGGTAAATTAAAGTATATTAAATACAGGGTCACTTTTAAAAATGCCCGGTTCTTTTTCTCTCTTTTCATTTCTCGAGACTTTTTCCATGAGTAAGACATTGTTTTTAATCATTCATTATCTGTCACATTTTAATTTACATTTACACATTTTAATCCAACAAATTCCTATTTTGAATGTTTCCTTTTTTTACTTTCTTCTTTTTTAAGATTAAATTTGAATTATTAATCAATTATCTTGGACAAAGAGAATATTACCACCTGGGGGTCGAGGGGCCATATTTCGCCTCGAGGGCCAAATTTAAACCCCACTCCTGTCCTCGTTTGCCTTGGATACTGCTGGTTGGATTGTTCGCTAATATCATCATCATATAACTGCCTGCTAATTTCCAATTGTGTTCTGATACAGTCGAGCACAGACCATTTTTACCTGAACCTCCCTCACCTGATGATTCACCTGTAAATTGTGTACGGACATTGTATTGATCAGACAAGGGTACTGAAAAAAAACAGACTCATTTCAATATCTTGCTGACATCCTATGCCGATTGTTCATTCACCTTATCATTTTTGCTCGCTTAAAACGAAGCCGTCTTTCTTTCACAGGAAATGACAGTGCATTTTAATTTATTTATTTACTACATATATGCCAGGTGAAGAAACACGAAACAGAAAGGCGTGGGGTGTAGGCGTTTATTTCTTAGTGTGCAGAAACAAATGCTGTTTCTGTACGCTGCAGAAACAAACGCCTTGCTTGGAAATGACAAAAAACGAGGGTGTCTCCATATCTGTAGCGTTAATGGGGAAAGTCGTGACGGAAGTATTCAATACTACCGCTCATTATATTTCGTATAGGGTTCGGCACCACTTAATCCAGGAATGTTCCGGCCACATACACTATCTTCTAGTTATACCTGGTTAAATGACCAAGTGGTTATGGCTACTGAATGAAACCAGGGGCCCGTTCCTCGCCTCTGCTAAACTTAAATCTAAATCTAAATCTAAATCTTAATCTTAGTCTAAAGGGTCAGGGCGAAGAATAGACTTTTTGCTTTTAGATGGCTTTTAGATTTAGATTTAGATTTAAGTTTAGCAGAGGCGAGGAACAGGCCCCTGGACAGTTACGAGCTCTTTCTCCGCGGACAAGCGGTCCACTGCTTTCTGGGAAGCATCGAAGCAAAACACACGCTCTTCAGAGTGCTGCACCCAGGAGACATGCAGTATAGCCCCCTCGTATATGCAACAGCCCTAGGTAATCCGTAAGTTGCAACTTATGCCCTCTACAGGGACATGAATTGATGCCCCTGCCTGAGAGACTGTACTTAAATGTGGTAATTTAACTCCCTCTTCCTCTCTGACAACTGAGTTTGAATACAGCCCTAGTCTTGCGTGTCCGCCTCTCTTCCGTTTTATACTTTTTTTTTTAAGTTTAATAACAAATTAGGCAGAAAAAGGGACTGTCCATTCAGAAAGGATAATAAAGGTTCACTGAAAAGATGCAGGCACAGGTTGTCTGACTTGTTTCTTCATTTGCGTAAGAAAGGGTTGATAAGATTCCTATCACATATATTAAAATGACACAATGATTATTCATGTTTCCGGGTGGCTTGGGCAATACCAGTACCTTCATTATTTCATAACAAGACAAAATCTTGATTTGATGGGTTTCCCGTAGAATTCCTGAAGTTATAAAACTCGCGCGACATGCCAAAATGAAGTGACGATGGCGTTCTTTTGTGAACTTGATGTCAGCGATATCTACCCAAAGACTTCACGGCCTGCTTCGACGGTCGCATTGTTGCAGGAAGGGTATGGAGGGTCTTGATATGGATCCTGGCCCTCGCAGGGCCACCCAGCTCTATGACGAAGACCACGGATTATTCCTACAAGCCCAGCGATAAGCCCAGCGATAAGACTGGTTCCCAGCGGCAGACCACGTGAGTATGGGATGGGGCTGAACCTCCCAGTACTTCCATTATCCATCCCAGTACTTCCATTATCCGTCTCCGTGTGTGTACTGATTGATGGTACCCATTTCCGCCCATCAGAAAAACAAAAGGCGGTGGGGGGCATAAAACAGTTCATAATGGCCCTTGATCATGGAAGCGCGTTAATTGGGACCGTCTATAATGTGCAGCATGACTCTTTTCATGCTCACACCGAGGTGCCCTCGTAATGCAGGTTTGAGTAAAGCACATGCAGAGAGCAAACACGTGGGATCGAAGCTGTAATTTCCAAAGCTTTCCCTGTAATGGAAAACCGATGAGATGAGAACAATAGGATTGTCTTTTCCTTATTATCAGTTCACAATAACTGCAGATGCA